ATTGCAAACTTATCTGAATAATATTAAATGCTAGTCTGTCTTCGCTTGTGAGCTCATTGGAGGCCGCCGAAAAAAGGCAAGATCGGAACAAATTCCGCTAGTATCGCAAATATGATGTTCGCGCATCTGTTGAGCTATTCTACATACTACAGGAATCAAATAAAAAAATCAAACTTGAAATGTAATTATTTCTAACATATAGTATATTATAAAGAAAACACGAATTGCGTTAATCGAATCAATCTTGGGCTTTTACGAAAAAGCGACAATTTGATTGGCTACAATCGGCTACACGATCAATAGATCGATTCTCAGCAAATGAGAATGGATTGAAATGAATTGAAATGGATTCAGATTTTCAGAAATATTGATTCACAAATGTTAAAATGAATGCTTTTCAATCCTAAATGTACTTTTATTCATTTATGGGAATTGCATGGAGCATATCTCTATGCCTTTAAATCTAAAAATAATATTAGCTTTTTCTATGCATACACAACACATTGTAAATACTGTTCAATTCAAAATTTTGAATAAGAAATACAGTTTTTCAATCCAATTGCATTCAATTGAATCTAATTGAATCCAATTAAATAAAAAAAAAATATTCTATTCACTATTTAAAATACGCATTCGAATAGAAATAAATTTCAATCCATTTTAATCCATTCTCGTTTGCTGGGTTTCTGACATTCTAGTATTGCCCATAAGATTAGAAAAAAAAATTCTAATTCTTTACTATTACTATTCTTTACTATTCTTAGAGTGCTGTTCCATGATAATCAGCATTTTGGAAAACAGAATTTTGGAAAAATAGTAGAGTGGGGATCATCTGAATTATTTATGCATTACTGTTTATCTGTAAATATACGTTAAATATAAGATTATCGAAATTGAATTTTTATACGTATAAAAGAAATTCATTATTAATAAATAATTGTTCGATAAGTATGCATTAATATATAAGTATTCATTTTTCCAGTATATAAATATAACCATTGAGGAATGTATAAAGGAATATATAAAATTGTATGCTTTTGTCGGTCCGAAATTTTCATTGGGTTGCCCATGGATCAATATTTCCGAAATTGTGAAAAATTAAAAAATTTATTTTAAATATTTTACGAAAAAAGATAATTATTATATAGTAGAAGAATCCGTAAGAAAATTTCGATATTTTTTTTTATTATAACAGAAGATAATGAAAGAAGAGGTTTGAGGTTTGAATAACAGTCCGTTTTCCGAAAAAAATCTCTTCCAGTCATGAAAATTTTGGGCGACAAGCACGAAATTTTATTTGCAATAAATGATTATATTTGCAATAAATGATATAAATGATTATATTTATATACTGGAAAAATGAGTACTTATCGAACAATTTATAATGAATTTCTTTTTACATGTATAGCAATTCAATTTCGATAATCTTGTATTTAACGTATATGTGCAGATGAACAATAATCCCAATAATTCTGATTGGCTGAATCTTCATTGTATTTTTCGAGATTCCGTTTTCCGAAATCCGACTGTCATGGGACAGCATCCTTATATTTCCCAATCAATCAGAGAAATCATTGAAACTATACAAATAAATAGATTTGAAATGTATAAAGTAATCGTAAAAATAACTATTTAAATTGTTGTGGCAAAATGTAATATTACTGTTAACATTACAGATGAGTGAAATTAATATCGTACTAATTCATTACCGGGAAAGAAATAACTGTAACAATAGTAACATGTTTATTTTTTTTTTTAAAGAACTTTTTTTGTATGTATTTTATATAAGATTACGTGCACACACGTAAAAAATAACATTTACTATGTAGAAAAAATTAATTATTTATGTATATGTAGCTACGAATTACAATTAGAACCATCGACCAGGCGCAAGGGACTTGGTCGCTTTATGATGTCAACTCTGGAGTCCATGGCATATCATAATCAAATGATGAAAGTTGTTTTAACCGTTTTTAAACACAATTCGTCAGCAATACAATTTTTCTACGCTCTTGGGTAATGAATTTTTTTAACGCTATTATAAATATACAGATTAATATGATGAATGATTGTTTCTTGCCTTTAGATTGTTTCTTTGCTAGATCTAAGTGTAGGAATCAATCATATTAAAGAATCACTGAGCATTCACTGATCAGTTTTCTCTGCTGAACACAGCCAATGAGAACCCGTGCCCATGGCTCGTTTAAACATTTGAGTTTCTTTATATTATATTTTCTACACATTAACATTAGTTCTTAAAGCGTATTCTTCATAAAAATCGATCTAGATGATTTTTTTTCTTTTTTTACTTTGTTTGAGATCTTATACATCTCATTTAAATAATTAGATAAATTGCCAAATTAAAAAAAATTAAAAAATAAAAACAACTATTGCATTTTTTAATTATTCGAGCAGGAAAAATTGATAGATTAAAAGTGTTAGTAGTATGTTTGGAGGATAACTGAGCTTAAAACATGATGAATTTCATATTTTTATTATTGGGAGTACAAATTAGTTCGGTCCGTTTCCCTAAAGATGGCTTCAATTATTGTGAATTATTGTGAATGATTCATAGTGACAGTTGATTTTGGCGGTTTCAGAGAGGTTAAACATCTGCTAATAATATTTAGTTTATATCGCTTTGAGTTTCATACAAAAACTTTGATTTTGTATTTGAAATGTCGAATTTTGTGTTAACCAAGCAGCATTTGCGGGAGGTTTTGATTTTCTGCTTTAATTGGAAGCGGCTGAAACCCATCGAATGCTTGTCGAAGTTTATGGTAACACTGCTCCAACTGATAAATCACGTAGGGAATGGTTTCGATGTTTCAAGGATGGAGATTTCAGCGTTGAAGACAAGCTCTGGACAGCCAAAAAAATTCGAAGACAAAGAATTAGAGGCATTACTCGAAGAAAATCAGAGTCAAACGCAAGAGGAGCTTGCAGAATCATTGGGGATAACTCAACAAGCCGTTTCTGTATGATTGAGAGCCATGGGAATGATTCAAAAACAAGGAAATTGGGTGCCTTATGAACTGAAACTGAGAGACGTTGAAAGGCGATTTTTCACTTGCGAACAGCTGATTCAAAGACACCAGAGAAAAGATTTTTTACATTGGATTGTGACTAGAGATGAGAAATGGATATTTTACGACAACCCCAAGAAGAAAAAATATTACGCTAAGCCCGGTCAATCGTTGCCATCGACCTCAACATCAATATCATGGCCGAACATTCATGGTTCGAAGATCATGCTTTGTATCTGATGCGAAAAAGATCTTGTTTACTATGAGCAGCTGAAACTGGCGATTCCATTACAGGCGATCGGTATCGGCTACAATTGATTCGTTTGAGCCGTGCATTGCAAGAAAAACGGTCGGAATACAAGCAAAGACATAATAAAGTTATTCTTCTTCATGACAACGCTCGGTCTCATGTCGCTAAAATCATAAAAAAATATTTGGAAACGCTCAAATGGGATGTTTTATCGCACTCGCTGTATTCTCCGGACATTGCTCCTTCTGATTACTGATTGTTCTGAAGAATGCAGCAAGTCACCGGTTCACTTCTTTCGCAGAAATCGAAAATTGGCTCCAAAATTGGAATCGCCTCCAAAGACGAATCAGTTTTTCGAGATGGAATTCGAAAATTGCCTGAGAGATAGGAAAAAGTAGTAGACAGCGATGGACAATACTTTAATTGATCTGTTCATTCATTTTGTTTTGAAATAAATGCATTTTTGAACGGACCGAACTAATTTGTACCTCCATATGTATACAATTAATCAAATATGTATTTACTTTTTAGAAAGTGTTAGAATACGGGAAGATTCGAATCACGACTAATATTTCTTCAAGTAAAGATTCCTTGAAAGTGCAAAAAAATTTTTAAATGCAATAATTTTTTGCACAATTATGTTTATTTGAGATTATGCTAAATTTTTATATAACTTTAATTATGCGTTAATTTTTGTAGACCAATGTATATGTATATATAATTGTTGTATAACTCAAATCTATTTTGCACTGTATGTAATTGACTAATATCGAAATATTCTCTTTTGAGATAGTTCTGTATTGATTTGTTGTATTACTCAATTTGCATTTACCTGTCAAGCTGATTTCATAATGTATTATTTTAATACCTTTTGTATTTTTTATACAAAAATACAACTTAATACAATTTGTATTATTTCTTTATAAATAATACTTATAGATATCTTAAATTTATTGTTAGTATGTTTAATCAAATAAAACTATCCACAAATAAATAATGAAACTCTTGTAAATTAACGCGTAAATGTAAATTATCACTCAAATATGAATGGCAATCAAAATGTTACTATTAAATTTAACTATTTAGATCTTTACTTTGTGTTTAATATGATTTTTGCTGCGATAACTCAAATCGTATTTAAAGAGATGTAATGTACAGTGAAAATACGTTATGTTCACTTGACACAATAGTCATTCGTGAACATTCTAGTAACATCCAACAAAAGCATTTTTCAACTGAATATACGTGCATAAAATATGTAGGATTTACATTTCACATTGTACAGAATTAAAATATCAAATAAAGAATAATAAATTAAATAAATGCACTATTCAAATTTGTGACAGTAAAACGTTACATTACACAATATGAATTGTATTTTTTAAATGCTTCATTAGATGTATCTATCAATTCTCAAACATTATCAATGTCTTATATACACATCGTCTTATATACATACACATACACAGCTTTAATTGGAAATGTCAAATCATAAAAATTGCTAAAAATTAATAATTATCAAAATAATAAAATAAATAATACATGTAAAAAATCACTTTTTAAACATGTGTGGTAATAAATATTAATTCAATTAATATCACAATTACGAAGAATTATTATGTTTTTGTTTTCAGTTGTTAATATACAATGAATTGATATAATATATGCGCGCACGAGGCAAACTAGACTATGCAATTATATGTATACATAATACACAAGTTATATTTACGAATATCTTCATTTCTTAAATATACATCGAATTTCTTGTTGCAATTTAATTTATATTTGAATTGTGCACTTGTTATAATATGCGAACTGTACTAGTACTGTAAGTAAGACCTTTAATCAAAATTACTGTAATTTTATATATACACTGTTTCAGATACAAATTGGACAATTCATATCCACCGGTCTCGGATTTAGACTATATAATTTTGAGTAAACAAAATTTATGTGAATAAATGGAAAATAACACATTACGTTATGTATTATATTTTCTCCCTGATTAAGACTGCGTCTTGTGAAATAAGATCGGCAGTATTTGATGCGGGCATAAGTTTACAATAGGCGATTTCAGAGATGGTCCGACATTATGAAACGTAAGAGGTGCTTTACTTATGGTCCAATCTTCCATATCATTGAATAGTTTCGTCAAATCTACTTCTCCTGATTCCGAAACATTGAAGTGTCGCAAAAAAGAATTGTTAAAACAAGTATCCAAAGCTGACTGATGCAATACCATACCGATACCTTTGCCAGCACCCTCGGGAATGGGAAACGCTCGAAGACTGACAATACTTAAATCTACTGGAAGATTGTAACGAAGTGGTGAGAAATAAGCATGCAGATCGAATGATAGAGAATTATGGGGATGCAACACTATGATTGGATGCAGTAACTCTTCCGAAGCTAAGTGACCGCTTAAAGATAATAATCCCGCCGGATGATTTTTTGGTACTGCAAAGGGACAATTTGTTTCCTTCTTTTCCAGAATTAATGTAAATATATGATTTGTCAACAGATTGTCCATTACACCTTGTCCTAATCCTCGATTGTCATCCTGAAGTAATCTTCTATCTTGCATAATCTATAAAAAAAAATTATTGCGTTCATAATTATTGTGTTAGATCAAAAATATGAGAGTGACCATCATGTTGTATTATCTCATGTTAAGGAACCTAATGTGATGAGAAACATTTTAACATTGTTTATGTAATCATATTTGATTCATTTTTCTTACATGTAGTTTATGTTCATTTAATATTTTGTAATAATTTTGTAATAATTTTTGCGACTGAAGGAGACATTGTAATGTTAAATCTAGTTTCGCTCGAATTTTAATGTTTTAAATTAAATATATATTATAATTTATTTAAATATAATTTATTGTCAACATTTTGTTTATCATTAACTTCTCTTTAGCTTTTTTGATAATTTTATTTTCATATTGTTATACAAAAATGTTTATCACACAAACAAACATGGCTATAAATTTATTTTGATATACGTCGTAATATCTCACTATTGAATTGACATTTTATGGTATGCCCCGATATTAATTAAATATTATGCGTACGTAATATACAAATATAGATCCTATATAAAAGCAAGAACAATTATTTAATAAAAATATCATTGTATATTTGTATGATAATCTTGAAGATGCCGAGAGGGGCCCTTCATGATATACCTTCATATTATATTATCATATCATCATGCCTAAGTGATAGAAGCTCTGTGATTAGGTAACTTTAATCGCTATTAATTTAAAAACTATTATGGCATACATACATATTAGAACGTTCTTATTTTTCGAATTCTTTTCATCTTACTCCCTAGAATGATTCCACTCACAAAAATTTTTGTAAAATTTTAGCTCGAAAGGATATCGGTAACTTGTGCTCCCGGTTCGTTAAACTAGAGCACTATAATTTAGATATTTGCATCCGTCAATTTTAATCCTTTCCCCACTCTTTGTTCTCTCTTTAATCTTCTCTCTTCAATCTTCAAAGTTTAGGCGGAGTGAAAAGAGAGCAAGGGATTGAGGAAAGGAGCAAAAAACTAAAAAAAGAACTAAAAATGATGCAAATATTTATATTTATAGTGCCTTAGTTCATATTTATAGTGCCGATTGTCATTCATATGAGTATTTAGCATTCCCTTAATTCCAATATCTTTGAACTTTCTGTTCAAAGATATTGGAATTAAGGGAATGATAAATACTCATATGAATGACAATCGATTTAGATATATTACTGCCTTTATTTTTAAAAAAATTGATTAAAAAGTTGTCACTTATGCGTAAAACTTCACCTCTTGTATCACTGAAAAGGATATACGTTCCCATTCAGTTAGCATTAATATTTTAAGTAAATATTTTTAACAATCAAAGATAACTATGTGAGGGAAAAGAAAGAAGAAGAGGGAAGAGGAGATGACACTCGCGAGCACATAAACATGACTGAGGCCCAGTTCCACAACTGACGGTTAACTCATAACTGAGGTTCCACTTCCCAGCAAACGAGAATGGATTAAAATGAATTGAAATTTTTTTCTATCCGAATGCGTATTTTAAATAGCGAATATTTTTTTAATTGGATTTTAATTGGATTCAATTAGATTCAATTGGATGCAATTGGATTGAAAAATTGCATTTTCTATTCAAAATTTTGAATTGAACAGTATTCACAATGTGTTGTGTGTGTACAGAAAAAGCTAATATTATTTTTAAATTGAAAGGCACAGAGATATGCTCCATGCAATTCCTATAAAAATGCATTCAGGATTGAAAAGCATTCATTTTAATATATGAATCAATATTTCTAAAAATCTAAATCCATTTCAATTCATTTCAATTCATTCTTGTTTGCTGGGGGATTATGAATTTTCTATTGTACGTTACCCGCCATCACTTCTTCATTTGGTAAATGTGTTATTCATTCTCTCCTTCAAGTACAATCAGCTAAACTAGTGACGAAATTATATAGATATAATAAAAATATCATCATTTAATAGATATAATACAATATAAACAATTTACATTCTACTCAGACAACATTGGATAAGTGTCGGATAATCTAATCTCGCTTGGCCAATGTCGCGCGCCGTGATTAGTCTAATATTCGGGCTTGTTCGACTTGCTGTGTTCACATCGATCATTCATTTTACTTCTAATCAAAGAGAAATAAATAAACATAGCTCAATTATTTTTACGTTACAATTTTTTTTAACTTAGTTGGATTAAAACGAACAATTTCCTACTTATAATTTTAAATAATTTAAGTAGCATTTATGATTCATTTTTAAATAAAAATTTTTTTTATTCAATTAGATTGAAAAATTGCATTTCATATTCAGAATATTGAATTGAATAATATTCACGTTGCACAGAAATTGCTGATATTATTTTTAAATTTAACTGAATTAAAAAAATCGTACTTTCTATTCACAATTCTGAATTGAGTAGTATTCACGATGCACAGAAAATGTTAATATTATTTTTAGATTGAAAAGCATAGAGATATGCTCTATGCAATTCCTATAAATGAATAAAAATGCAGTCAGGATTAAAGAGGATTCATTTTAACATTCATGAATCCGTATTTCTGAAAATCTGAATCCGTTTTATGATCCTGAATCCATTTCAATTCATTCTCGTTTACTAGGCCAGAGATTCCAGGTTCGAATCTTAAGATGCGTTTTTTAAATATCAATTTGAAGTAGTTAATTTCAGATATAATTATTATAAATGTCTTAGAAATAAAATTTGTAATCCTTAAAGATGAATGTTTTTTTTTCGAATATTAAACTAGTGTCAGCTCGGATTCAATCCATTCAATCCGTTTTCATGGATTTAAAGTACATATATTTAAAAAATTTTAATTCATTTTAATCCATTTTAATTTCTCATTTGCTGGGAAGTTAAACCTCAGTTAAAAGTTAATTGTGAAAATGAATCTAATTTAAATAAGTCCCATGTAATCGTCAGTTAACTTAACTTAACCGAGATTGGTGAAAGAGACCCTAAATCTATGATAGAATTAATAAGGTGAAGTATACTTTCGTGGATGCGCAATAAGAAAGTGAATTTGGATAACTGTTCCATATAATCAGCATTATTATATGCAGGAAAGTACATATTGGGGAACATTTGATTGGTTATTTCCAGTATTGCTATCGCCTTTTATTTGATTGACTATTTTCAATATTGTTTATGCGCAATGTGTATATGTGTATGCGCGCGCGCGCGTATGTTTCACCTTATTAATTCCACTGAATCCGACCAGGACATCTCCTATCAAGGAACAAAGTCGGAATGTGGATTCCAATCAGAATTATTTCGTTTTTCCCAGAAAACACAATAGAAATCTAGGGATAATTGAATAATTCCGATCGGAATCCATTCCGATTTTATTCTATGATAGATAATCTCCACGCGATATACCTTAGATAATGCTAATGCTAAATTATAAGAAATTTGGAAGAAATAGACACAACAGACAATGTCAGAGCTATGTGTGAGTGGCAGGACAAAAGTCTACTATGGAGGAGATCCGGCCTCAGTTAGAATCTGGGAGCCCGGAATGCCCTGATATTTTTCTTATGTTGTCGCTTATTTTTTACACTATTGTGACTTTCAAATCTCTTAACTCGAAAAGTACTAATTAAAAAGAGGTTTTATTATAGTGTTTTGAAAAGCTCTTGATTTCAGCTATTAGATTTTGAAAAAAAAAGGATGTTTTATTTAAAAAAAAAGTCGATTTAATCTTGATGGCATTCAAAGGGTCAAATGATAAGATTTTAATAGATCATTTAAAACCTTACAACTTTTGTATGAAATATTTTTCTCAGAAATGCTTACTTTTCAAGTATTTAAAGGATCCGGGACTTTTTTTATCCTGTATAGATACCTATATGTATGTATGTACATGATACATATGCTTTTAAAATTAAGATGTAACAAAAATTATAGCGTTTTTCACTGACAGAACTCTCACTTACAGAGGTGTGCACTTGGTGCACATTAAAGTTGTTGTACATTAACCTAATCTGAATGTGAGATATCTCAATTAATAAAATATCCAATATTTTATCAAATACCGTAATAAAATATATCGAGGATTTCACGGTTTAATTTATTTTTATATTTGTATTAAACGTACATTTTTATTTTTTTATCAATTTATGTACAATGACTTTAAAGTGCATTGAGTACACACCAGCTCTGCCAGTGAAAAACGCTATGACACTGCATATTTAATTTTAATGAAAAACTAAATTTTTAATGAACATATTCTTGAATGAAACATATTTTTCATTCAAGAAAATTATTATTACGTAAGTAAGTGTAAGTTTTTAGTTTTTAGCTTAACTTTTCATTTTACTTGTTTGCACTAATTGTAAGATGTACAACATTTTCTGAAGACAAAGTTATTAACTCACCTCAAGTTCACCAGATGCCATAGAGGCTACGCCTAATGGTTGTGCTGTAGCAACTGTTAACCTAACTCTTTTATCTTCTATATATGCGCTTGCTGCCATCGGATAATAATTCCCTTGCGTGGGAAGCTTAGAAAATCTTTGCCGTCGAATTATCTAAAATTAATCGGATAAAGTATACATCACAATTATATCTCAACAAAAAAATCTTACAAATCTTGTTTAAGGACTAAAATATAATTTTTAATTCGTTACATTAATATGCTTACATTGAGTCCATTTAAATCTGTGAAGAATTGGTTACCGGATGCAATGTCTGTGTTGAAACGCATTGCAAGTTCATAGTTTTGTGTCTCCGTTATGTCGACTTCATTTAATATATGTAATCCGAGCCCATCACTGCCAGGAGAATTAAACAGTGTACAAGTGTGCCGTACGTACGGTAATTCTATAAACACTTTCGATAAAATTGGTCCAGATACTAAATGAATAATTGCCCTGCCGTCCATAAACACCACATCTGGTTCCGATTTGTCAGGCAGGAATAAGTAAGCGCCACTTCTATCTTTACCGGAACTTCTAGTACCATATTTTACGAAATCTAAATGCACGGGAAACATGGTATTGTCGACTCGTAAAGCTTTCAACAAACCAGATTTCCCGAAAGAAGCGGATAAATTCGGCCGTTGAGAAATTGAAAATTCTTGCGAATGCGACATAATTGTCAAATGACTAAAACCAGGAATCGATGGAAAACTTATGTCAGTGTTAAAAATTGTGACATTAGCCAGATACACTTCCCTGTTCGAAGAAGAAAAGTCTAATAATTTTATTTTTATAGCATATTAAAGCTCATGCAATATTTTATAAAATGATGAAAAAATATATTTAATAGCTAATAAAGCTTTGTACTACTAAAGGGCCTTTCAAAAAGGATGCTCGATTTTAAATAAAACAAGTTATGTGTGAGATATCCACTCCAATTTTTTTTTATTTGAAAGAATATTTTATGGCATTAAGTATGGAATATAACATCGCTCAAATGTCCGCTGCGGCCTCGTTTGGTGACACGTATTCGGGCGGTCCAATTTTCGATAACTTTCTCGCATAAATCTGGCTGAATTTGCTGGATGGAGTTTGTTGACTTTGAGAGCATCAATTGTTTGTAGTTTATTCATATAGACCTGCGATTTAAGATAGCTCCAAAGAAAGAAGTCTAAAGGCGTTAAATCGCACGATCTTGGTGGCCAGTTCACGTCGCCGCCGCGCGAGATAACCATGCCCTCAAATCGCTCGTGCAGAATATTCATCGTGGCATGAGGTGTGGCAACAGGTGGCACGTAGCGCCATCCTGTTGGAACCACATGTTATCCATATCACGGTATCCATATCATCCATTTTTAGACCACAAGAAGTTGCTTACCATCGATCTGTAGTGTTCGCCATTGACAGTTATGGCAACGCCCGCTTCGTTTTGAAAGAAGTACGGACCGATGATTCCGCCGGACCAAAATCCGCACCAAACAGTGACTTTCTCGGGATGCATTTGGAGCTGGTGTATCTCGGTGGATTGGTATCGTCTCAAATTCGACAATTTTGCTTGTTCACATATCCATTTATCCAAAAATGGGCCTCATTGCTAATGATTTGTTTGGCGAAATTTGGGTTAACTTCCAAATGCTCCAGAACCCAATCAGCGAACACACGGCATTGTCTATGGTTGTTTACCTTAAATTCCTGGGTCAGTTGAATTTTATAGGGGTGCAGACCCAAGTCCTGACGCAAAATTCGCCAAGTTGAAGTCGCAGAAAGGCCAAGTTCTTGTGAATGACGAGAAATTGACCGCCTCGGGTTTTCCCGTACACTCTCACGCACAGCAGCGATGTTTTCAGCATCTTGCGTTTCGGCGACATACTGATGTTGGCTGATTATTTATCGAACCGGTGGACTCAAATTTGACCATCAAACGTCGAATAGTCGACTCGGTAGGACGGTTGTAGCGAGGATAAAAATCACGTAATGCGCGGAACGTTTCTCAAACGGAGCACTGATTTTGATAATAAAATTTTATGATTTGCATACGTTGCTCAACACTATGACTTCCATGGTGATTTGCCATACACTACTAAACAATTCACAACAAATTTAACAGATGTCACTTTAACAACATGACTACTATGATCTATTGTAAAAAATTTCGAGCGTCCCTATTGAAAGACCCTATAGTATAGCATATAGTATTGTGTGTGATTAATGTTTTTACATAATCATTGTGCTTACTTCGTATATGACGCTTTGTGTGATGTGTGAACTATATATGTAGTAATACCAAATCCTGGTACAGTGACTAAAAATGATAATTCATATCTAGCCGTGGACAATGCAGCTGGACCAATCCAAACAGGAGACACTTGACATTTAACAGTCTGTCCTCTTCGATCTGTAACTCTAACGAATGGCGTCGATACAATCAAGGTTTGCACTTTTGTTCTCTCTCTTGGGAGAGAATTGTATAGAATAATTTTTCTCGACGGCTTATCGTCTCCAAGGTTGAGAACATGCTTCTCACCTACGCTCGTGTGATGCGACCTTTGAAAAAAATAATTACATATATACTTTATATTGATATAAAATGTATATATAATATATAAATTCATTATATGAATGCATAAAATCAATGAGTGCATTCATTATTATGATCGCTCACTGAATGTTCAGTGAGCTCTTGTATTTGTTTGATCTATATTTTTCTAACGGAATATGCTAATTAGATGCAAGAGCTCACTGAGCGCTCAGTACTGAATGCACCCAATATTTTATATGTAAATTCATTATATGAGTTTATACACAAAATATTGGTTTTATTATTCGTTATTAAATATTTTAATACCTAGTTTCATCCAATGAGAAATACACAGCTTCTACATCCATAGGTGATATTTGAGGAGTTCTCAATAAATGTGCTATAGATTGTTGCAGCACATGTGCCGAGTTATTCAACGCCATTATCATCTTCTGGGCATAATCTATCACAACATTGTCTCTGGCAGTTCCGGTAACTCCGTCGTGATGTTGAAACAGAGAGTGCCACATCCTGGCTTTGCTTAAACGAGACGCAAGGCTTCCTTCTATTAATTGATCATTGCTTCTAGCCCAAGCTATAGCAGTTAATGCTTCTGATCCTCTTAAGGAACCCAACAATACACGATCCAATCTTTTATGAAAAGGTCTATACAAATTTAAGAATTTTATTAGACGATTTATTTAAATACAATGGAAAGCTTTTGGTCTAAAGAAACTTTTGTACCTAGAGGTATAGTAACCACTCCAATAATGATCATCTCTATCGGAATATGTAAAGAAATCGCCAGACAACGTAGGAAATTCATTAAAATTGTGTTTTTCTCTGATCGCCTCAAAATAATCACTCAATGTTCCAAATTGTATTTGAACGTTCAAATGTTGATTTTCGTTCATATAATTGAAAAGTTTTTGATAATTGTCATATTGAGCTTCCCACTCGGTGAGATGTGTATACCTGAAGTCATCGCCTAAAGGCGCAAGTACTACATTAGTCTTGAAAAGTTGCGCTTTCTTGCGATACTGATCCAGTAAAAGCAACGCTCTCTCTGCTACATTTGCTCTGGTGATGGTTTTCGGCGGAATCTTCCACGGGCAGCTGAGACCAAAATTCTGCATTCTGTAAAAATCAAATTGGCAACATACTTTTGGATCCGGGCCGCACGTATGAGGAACATCGTAGCTATAAAATGGCATAACATGAGTTAAAAATTCTGTAGAACCGTCATCGTCCCATAATTGTCTCCAACGAAATTCGAGATTTTTATTCTTAGCAAGTCTCTTTTTTACTGAATAATGAACCCTTTGTATCAAAAGGTTCTCCAAGCCTGAATTCTTTAAGAGATACGGCATAGTGGGAGAAAGACCAAAAGGATCAATGGCCCATCCTGAATTTGGTGTATAATCCAGATTATATTTTAGCCACTGATGACCCTCAGTTAATTGCGTCAATTGAGCGATCCAATGAGATACAGATTCATCTGGCATCACCCATCCTCCGGACACAATTTCCAATTGTCCGTCGTGAATTAGACGACGTACTTCGTCTTTTATTTCTTTGGACTGATCGTCCCACCAAAGTTTAAAGAAAGATATTTCCGCCCAAATAAATTTGCGTCTCCTGTCTTCGCCCAGTTTGATCACCATATTGTTCAATATGCTCCTTGTTTGAAACATATAGTATTTTTCAAAAGTATTTAACCATCCGGGATCGTTGTGCGAGTGAGGTACGACAAAAACTTTTAATTTTCTATTAGGATGCCATTGTTTTTCATCGTACATGATGTTCCAACCTTGTTTCCAAACTCCACCATCTGGATTATCAAACTCTAATTGCTTATACAATTCTAACATCTGTATGTCAACCTTGGGGACTTTCTGAATATTAAAATTACATGTGAAACTTTTTTCTAAACGTGAATTCTTAGTATTAGAGTGATTAAAATGACTTGGTTGTATAATAGGTACAAAATTATTTTTTATTTTTGCTGCTTGCTCCTGCAAAGCGTTCATAACTTTGTGATGTTCATCAAAGTCCTTTTCTAATTTTGCCAGTCTGTTTTCCAAATGGAGCCACTGATTCTGGAAAAAAAAACCAAGTAGTTTTTTTCTAAACTGCGGCAGATCTAGTTTAAGAGAGAAGATGCGTTTGAAAATGTCAACATATCAATTAAAACATAAATTTTCTTAAACATCTTAAACAATCTTAAAACATAAATTTTTTGTACATTTTGTACATTATATAAAATGATTTTTGCATATTTTAATACTTTCATAGCCGGTAATTTTTTCGCCTTTCAAAAACTGGAAAACTAGTTTCGCTTGAATATGACTCGAAATTATTTAGATAAAGATAAAATTTAGAAAGATAAAATAATTATAAATTAGATAAAGATAAACGTAAACTTAGATAAGATAAAGATGATTTTATTTCAAACTTGTCTAGATTAAACATGAAATTATAAATTATGTCATCGAGATAATTTTAATATCGCTTTTAAACACAAGGATACACACAAGGATAAAATCAACACAAGGATAAATTCAAGGATAAAATCAATATATTCATATTCTTATTTAATTAAATGATAAACAGTGAAAGGGAGGAAAGGAGAATAAATTTTTATTAAAGGGATAAATATATATAAGAGATAAAGAAACTAAAGGTAGGGAAGAGGGACAGAGAAGAAGAGAGAAAAAAAGTGGATAAAGAAAAAATTAGAGAATTTGCAATATAGTAGTGATTAGAAAGAGTGATGTATAGAAAGAGTGATGTAGTCAAGAGAATGAAGAGAAAAACAAGGAAATTATAAACAAGGAAAAATAAACATAAATTAAAAGGGGAGAAAGTATTTATAGAAAATTATTTGAGCTGAAAGGAGAGAAAAATTTAGGAAAAAATGAATAGAGCAAAGAAGCAAAGAGATAAGAGAAAAGAAGTAAAAAGTAGGATTAGGAAGATTGAGAGTTGAAGAGGTAGGAAGGGATGGGCAGAGATAGAAAAAGAGGTGAAGAGAAATAAAGGCATTGTAGGAGAGATTAAAGTGAATAATAATGCTACGAATGGAGAGGAGAAGAATTTCGGCTGAGTCAAGAAGGAGAAGTAGAAAGAGGGAAGAAGAGGATGGGGAAAAATGAGAGAGGGAGAAGAGACAGGTAAGAAAGCAGAGGGAGCAAGCAAAAGAAAGAGGAAGGGGAAATGTAGAGTGAGAAAGAAAAGGAGGAACGAGAAAAATAAAAGAAAATAGGTATAAGTGAAAGGGGGAGGATAGAAAAGCTAATAAGAGGAAAAGAGAAAGGGAGAGCTATGTTATTTTGGAATTGTGTGGGGATATGTAATAAGAATATGGATTTTTCAAGGTGAGAGATTTTGATTTTATGGTATCAACCTATGTGAAATATAAGTACAGGAGAAAGATTGAGTTAAACGGCAGATTTCCAAGAACATATGTATGGGAGTGTTATTTTGCTAGAAGGGACGGGAGGAGAGGTAGAGCCAGGGAAGAGTGGTAGTTTTATAGAGAAAAGAAATGATGGGAGGATTTCAAGGAGATAAGCTAATGTACGAGAAGGTGGAAGGTAATATAATAAGTACGAATTTAATATTGGGAGTATAAATTAGTTCGGTCCGTTTTTTTGTGTTCAAAAATGCATTTATTTCAAAACAAAATGAATGAACGGATCAATTATTGTCCATCGTTGCCTACTACTTTTTTCCCATCTCTCAGGTAATTTTCGAATTCTATCTCGAAAAATGATTCGTCTTTGGAGGTGATTCAATTTTGGAGCCAATTTTCGATTTTTGCGAAAGAAGTGAGCCGGTGATTTGCTGCATCCTTCGGAACAACTAGTAATCAGAAGGAGCAATGTCCAGAGAATACGGCGGGTGCGGTAAAACATCCCATTTGAGCGATTCCAAATATTTTTTTATTACGACTTTAGCGACATGAGGCCGAGCGTTGTTATGAAGAAGAATAACTTTATCATGTCTTTGCTCATATTCCGGCCATTTTTCTTGCAATGCACAGCTCAAACGAATCAATTGTAGCCGATACCGATCGCCCGTAATAGAATCACCGGGTTTCAGCAGCTCATAGTAAACAAGGTCCCAGATACAGAGCATGATCTTCGAAGCATGAATGTTCGGCTGTGGTGTTGATGTTGAGATCGATGGCAACGATTGACTAGGCTTAGCATAGTATTTTTTCTTCTTGGGATTGTCGTAGAATATCCACTTCTCATCTCCAGTCACAATCCAATGCAAAAAATCTTTTCTCTGTTGTTTTTGAATCAGCTGTTCGCAAGTAAAAAATCGCCTTTCAATATCTCTCGGTTTCAGTTCATAAAGCATCCAATTTTCTTGTTTTTGAATCATTCTTATGGCTCTCAATCGTACAGAAACGGCTTGTTGAGTTACTCCCCAATGATTCTGCAAGCTCCTCTTGCATTTGACTCTGATCTTCTTCGAGTAATGCCTCTAATTATTTATCTTCGAATTTTTTTGGCTGTCCAGAGCGAGGTTTGTCTTCAACGCTGAAATCTCCATCCTTGAAACGTCGAAACCATTCCCTATGTGATTTATCAGTTGGAGCAGTGTCACCATAAACTTCGACAAACATTCGATGGGCTTCAGCCGTACTTTTCTTCCAATTAAAGCAGAAAATCAAAACCTCCCGCAAATGCTGCTTGATTAACACAAAATTCGACATTTCAAACACAATAAAAATCAAGGTTTTTGTATGAAACTCAAAACGATATAAACTGAATATTATTAGCAGATGTTTAATTTCTCTGAAACCACTAAAATCAGCTGTCACTATGAACCATTCACAACAGCTGGGGCCATCTTTAGGGAAACGGATCGAACTAATTTGTACTCCCAATAATAAATAATGAAAAAAATAGGATTATTTCTGTTTATGAAGAACAAGGAGAATTTAGAGGAAAAGTTGGAAGGATTTATGAAGGAAGAGGAAGAAGAAAATTTAATCATAGGTGGAGATTTTAATATAATAATAGGGGAGCTGGGAGGAATGGAAATGGAAGGGGAGGATATGGAGAGATATAACAAGGATAAAATAGGAAATAGAGGTAGAAGCTTTGTGGGTAAGAGATAAAGGTTTATACATTGTAAACAGAAATACGCCAGGTGGGGTATATGTCAATTGCCCATATTGCTAATTGACTATTAATTTAAAATAATGTAATCTCAAAGCAGTCATTCCCCATCAGGTGAGAGAATGAATATGCAATACATTGGGGAAATTTCGAGTTTAGTTCGCTCTACTTGTCCATGAAATATTTGGCAATTATTTCCAAATACCCTGTATATAGGAGTGAGGGATAATAGATTACATAATGAAGACGTAAAGAATGATGAAAGATTAATGAAGATGTACAGAATAAGATTATAGATTTTAAGGTTCATGTAAGAATGGACTCAGATCACTTACCTTTGTGCCTGAAGATCAAAGAGCAACGGGAAGAAAAGGATTCGATCACAGAGGCTGAACGGCTATGGGAAGAAGAAACAATAGCCTGGGATGAGGAGACAATTAAAAGATACAAAAAAACGCAACAAAGAAAGAGAAGTGAAAGGAAGAAAAGTGAAAGGAATACAGAAAGTAAAAAGTATAGAAGAAAGTTGGGAGGAAATTAAGCAAATTGTATATGGTGCAATGATAAAAAGGAAAAAAAAAGAACAAGACTGATGCGATAGGAATAGTACTAAAGGAAAGAGAGAAGTTAAGAAGTTGTATTGGAGGAAAAAAAGTAGAAAGATAGAAGGCAATTTAGGGAATTACTGAAGAAAAAGCAAAGAGAAAAAAAGCTCTTGAATATTATTCAAGATCATGTCCTATATTTTTTAAGATCAAGGCCATTGAAGACCTCTTATTTTCTTTTTTGCACTAAAAATTCATTTTTACATTAAAATGAAAATAAAAAGTACAACCTCCAATGACCTTTGATCTTGACAAATGTTATCCAGGACATAATCCTGACTGGAACAGCATTCAAGAGGTTTTAGCCGTCGGTCGGACGTCTTGCGTAATGCCAGCAGTACTGTAACTTTCAAGCCTTGTAACTCGAAAAGTACGTAATGAAAAATAACTTTATTATAATGTTTTGAAAAGCTCATGACATCAGATATTAGATTCTGTCATCAAAAATAGGATGTTCCATTAAAAAAAAATGATGTTGACCTTGGCGACGCCACCCAAAGTACCTTCAAATCAATGGTATCTTTTTATATCCCCGCCTGAACTATACAACTTTTGTTTGAAACATTTTTCCGTATCTATCATAGTTTTCGAGAAATTTTAATACATTATTTAAAATGGGACACCCTGTATATATAAGCATAATTTGTTTACAATATGATAAAAAATATAATTCTTATATTTAAAAAAACAAGACATAAATAATATTGATAAGTAAATTAACACATTATAAAATTTAGACATTATAAAATACTAAAATTCATTTTTTTAAAGCTTGAATTTATTCGTTAAATGCATCTACTTCCTTCTGAACATTTTCTAAGATTCGAATTTAGCCAGTCTTAAGAAAATCGGTAGTCTTACTAAGATGTAGTCTAATCTAAGATGCCTTTCCATGTTGATGTTCGATCATTTTTAGTTGTTTTTCAAAACAGATAAAAATTAATGAATATCAAGCATCAATTTTGATTACATGATTTATTTTGACATTAAAAATGAACGTCAAGTTTCAGCATGAAAAGGCATTTTTAATCGTACAAGTAGCTAACTTCACTGATTCACGATAAGACTTAAGATTATCAATTATCGACTCATTGTAGAATCAACATGCGAGATCTATAATAGAAGTCTCTAAAGTGATTCTAAAGTGAAGAGATAATACGTGATCTACAATAGAAGTCGTAGTGATCGTAAAGTCTGAAATCGTAAGAAATTGACCATTATAGTCGATTATTCTCCTCACATTCGACTATGATTGGTTAATTTCTTATGATTTCAGACTTTACGACCACAACGACTTCTACTGTAGACCACCTATTATCCCATCACAAGTTGTTAGCATATTACAAACAACTGATCGGC